ATTCCAGGCATTTACGTCATATTCAAACACTTTCCTTTACATTGAACATTATTTTTTCATGTAAATAAGTTGTGTTCACGTTACACGAAGTACGGCTAAGATTTAAGCTGATTTAGGCTTATCTAGCATATTTGCATTTCGGCTAGACCCAATTGCGTCCACGCACAGGGAGGGCCAGTCGTTAGCACGGGCTAAGGGGTGCCATTAGTCGGTGACATTTGGTAAGCCGCTATTTACGAACGAAAAATGGATGACACGCGCGAGGTTCTATTTCTGCTGCTGGCATGTTTCGTTCTAATTTTGAAGCGACGTGCACAGGAACGCGAGAGAAGACGGACCACTTATTTGGATGCACATAAACAGTATACAACGGGCGCAACAGAATACAGCGTTTTATTAATGCATGTCGTAGACAGCGAACCAAATTTATTTTGTCTACGATTGGAGCTGCTGTACGCTCTACTACAGTGACCCGATTAGTGTGGAAGTGAGCACGGAGTAATGACTGGTGGAATAGTGTCGAACATGGGACAATTTTCACACCCAAAGGTCGGCGCAGAGGGCGCTTAGCCCTGGGCTAAGCATTCGCGCATACTTCGTTAGCCCGTGCTAAGGTCTAGACCGCGTCTTAAATTTGGATCAGATTTAACCCGTACTTAGCATTCCTTAGCCCGTGCTAAGCGTTCACGCATGTTTTCTTAGTACGGGCTAAGGAATTTGACCTCTTAGCCCGTGCTAAGGAGCTGTGCCAGAACGCAACTATAGAATCCTGAATGAACGCAAATATTCGCATAGTGCAAAATGTTGTCATTTATCCCTTATTAAATATTGCTAGAAACGAAGAAAAGACGTATAATAATAAGATTTTATCAAAACAATATCAAAAAGATATTCACTCAGGCAGTACAGGATTGCATTGACCTCCACTACACATACGTTGATATGGTTACTGTACTGCCTTCGTACATACATGTATGCACATTGTCATAACCATGGCCTTTTTATGGCACACTTTGTGGCATTCTTCTGATAATCTCATAATACATTAAACTGTGTCAAGCTATATAGTCTTATTGTCTGCATAATTACCTGACAGATTGGTTGTTGTGTGGTAACTACTTTTCTACTACTACGTATTATATTGAATGCATTTACTGCCATTGACTACCGTTTACATACATGTAACACAATGGGAATCTTTATTGATTCTTACTGTGAACTTTTTAAATTTTATAAAATTTAATATATTTAATATAAACTGTGGTTTATATATGCTTAGATTTGGTCTTTTATATTCTTGCCAGCATGTCGTTTTTTCTGCATACTATATAGGTTATACCAACATTTTTCTTACCGATATTTACTATATGGAGGCCACCATCTTAAATATGGCCTGAAACCAAATAAAGAGACTAGTTTTGAAATATGTTTCTCAGATATAGTCATGAGAATTGTTTGTTTATACATTTCATACGCTTTGGGATGTTTATAAACACTTTATGAGTACGTCAATCAGCTAGTCAAGGTACAAATGTAGTCATTTTCATTCTTGTCAGATTGGGTATAATTTTGTTTCTGTCTGAAAAGTACTGGCTGTCTCTTATTGCAATTTGCATGACTTGCTGAATATATACTCACCATTCCTTAGAGAAATTTATTTATTTGATGTACACGGTAAAATTAGTGTTGTCAACTGCTTTTAGTTTTTAACTACAAAAAAGGAATTACAATGTACCTCCCTTGGGAATCTGCGTTGAAATCAATTTGTTACTTTTCAGTGGATTTGAGCAATTCAAATTTGAATCCCCCAAGAGTGGAAGAGCGATCAGACTTTTCACATTATTGTGCAATAATTAGTGCAATGTTTGGTTCAATTTTGTTTTTTTGGTTCAATTTTGTCACTATATAATATACAATTTTGGGTAGGGTTTTCAAAGATGAGATTATAGTAATTATTAATCACTGATTTTGTTTCACATTATTGTTGAAATCTCATAATTTATAAACATTATGTGACATTTTTATAAACTAAATAAGAAAATTTGTTAAAAATGTTATATTTAGTCCCCGTTCGGACAAAGTCCGAAAACGGGGACGTATAATTTGTCCGTCGTCCGTCCGTCCGTCCGTCCGTCCGGAGTCATATCTCAGAATCCCTTGGACCGATTCCGTTCATTCTTTGCATGTGCCTAGTACTTTATGTGGGACATATGCACATGCAATGGTTTAGCGATTTGATTCATAATGGCCGACTGGCAGCCATCTTGTTTTTTGAAAATGTTGTATTTTGGACATGCTTTGTCAGTTTTCATTCAAACTTGGTACATAGATTATAGATGTTAGGATACATGTCCATTACGATTTATTGCACAATTGGATCAAAGATGGCCGACTGGCAGCCATCTTGTTTTTTGAAAATGTTGTATTTTGGACATGCTTTGTCAGTTTTCATTCAAATTTAGTACATGGATCATACACGTTAGGATACATGTCCCCGACCGTCCGTGAGTTCCTGAGTCTGTCCGTCCGTCTGTGTGTCAGTCTGTACAGAGTCATATTTCAGAATCCTGTGGACCGATTCCGTTCATTCTTTGCATGTGCCCAGTACCTTATGTGGGACATATGCACATGCAGTCGTTTAGTGATTCGATTCAAAATGGCCGACTGGCAGCCATCTTGTTTTTTGAAAATGTTGTATTTTGGACATGCTTTGTCTGTTGTCATTCAAACTTGGTCCGTAGATTATACATGTTAGGATACATGTCCATGACGATTTAATTCGCAATTGGATCAAAGATGGTCGACTGGCAGGCATCTCGGATGTACTGTTAGTCTTCATTCAAATTTGGCACATACATGTACTTTATACATGTTAGGATGCATGTCCATGACGATTTGTTTCAAAATCCGGTCAATGATGGCCGATTAACAGCCATCTGACTTTTTGGCCTTACTACTATATTTCCACAATTTATGTACCATTTTCATTTGTATTTGGCACATACATCATACATATCAGTGTGTTTCATAATCAGATCAAAGATGGCTGAATCACGACTGTTTTTATTTTTGGCCATATTACTACTACACAGAACAAGTGTTTTGATGTAAATAAACAATCTGTTGTATACGCCACTTGGAACTCAAGTTTCAAGGACACGCTCGCGACAATCTCTCCGCTTTAATATGACGAGCACAAAAAGAACTTTCAAAAATTTAACGAGGACTGTGTCATTTTCAATGACTTGTTACTGTATAAATCATACTGCTTTATAGTAACAGCAACTTTGTTTCAACACTTTTTTTTTTTTATTAAAAAAAGTTAGATTAAGGTTTTATTTTTATGGTGATTATTTATTTATGTATATTATTTATACCAAGGATTTATATAAGATAAGGGTATGGAATTTTCATAACCTTGTACGATGATATACAATGAAAATCTCACGAGAAGCGAACTTTCACTTTTCGTGTTGTGAGCATTTGAAAGGTGTCCCATTCTTTGTGCATCAATCGAACGCAGTTCTAACCAACAGTGCCACAAAACGCAGTGGGAAATGTTCAATTGAGTAAACAAAAAATATGTGAGATTTTTCACATTACATGCTTTGTGAATAAACAAGAACACTTACTATTGAAATCAGTCTGAGATGAATACAAACCAGTTTTTTCACAGACTTATTAATTTGCATTAGGATTTCAAGAAATGGAGTTTTAATTCTTGCAATTTTGTGGTCCAATAACAATTTGCACAAGGTCTTCATCTCGTAACACACCTTTGCATACCATCATTTTATAAATCCTTGTTATAAATACAGTGTATAACTTATATATAACTTAATTTTCATAAATTAATCGCATATTTGAAATTGTGTACTCGATGTACACAATAACAAGTAGGCATTGAATACCCTATTATGAATTTGGTCATCCGTCGTTCATGTCAATGTTTTACTTTTTCGACTTCTTCTTGAAAACTACAAGCCTGAATGCTTTGATACTTGGTGTATACATGTATGTACCTTGGGTAGACATTTCATGATGATATCTTCAATTTCCTAATTTTGGTGAATATTTTTGGTAAAAAGTGATATTTTTGACTTGTTAAAAACCGCAAGCAAGTCCAATTGCTTTGATATTACATATATATAGGTACTACATGTGGACCTCTCTCATCAGATTTGCTCATTTTGTAATGATATCTTCAATTCTCTAATTTTGGTGAATATTTTTGTCATTTTTGGTAAAATGTGATATTTTCGACTTCTTGTTAAAAACCGCAAGTCCAATTGCTTTGATATTACATATATTGATACTACATGTAGACCTTTCTCAGATTTGTTCATTTCATGATGATATCTTTAATTCTCTAATTTTGGTGAATATTTTTGTCATTTTTGGTAAAAAGTGATATTTTTGACTTGTTAAAAACCGCAAGCAAGTCCAATTGCTTTGATATTACATATATATAGGTACTACATGTGGACCTCTATCAGATTTGTTAATTTCGTGGTGATATCTTCAATTATCTAATTTTTTGGTAAAAAGTGATATTTTTGAATTTTTGGTGAAAACACTAAGTCCTGTTGCTTTGATACTATACATATTGTTCATTTTCTAATGATATCTTCTGTTCTTTAATTGCAATGTGCATTGCTAACAGCAGAGCTATCTCAGCTGACAGGCTGCTTGTTTGTCTAGTGATGTTTAAAAAAGTAAAACCCCCTATGCAGCTTATAATTCATAAACTTGAAGTAGCATCCAATTGAGTCACCTTACTTTAAAAACTGCCATGTGGAATATCCTATATTGTTAATCATGGTGATCATTTGAATAAAATGATTTTGAAGTTTTTTTGACTAAATTATTTTGTAATTTTCATTAATTTCTTTGTCTCATCTGTTTTCTTGATTTGAAAATTGCGATCAATATTGTGGCAATCTTTTGAGCTCAAATATTTGTTGTTGTTTATATAGTTTTTTTTTTCCATTACATTCCAGTTCTTAGAAATGATGGTTTTGGAGAAGAAACATTTTATCACTGTTTTGTTGCTGATGCAGATGTTCCACTGGAGACAGATGTTTGTGAAGAACATGTGAAAAAAGTAATAGCGTATGCTATATATTATTTTACCTACAGTACATGGGATGGTAGAATGATTTTTATAGAAGATATTTATGTCACACCAGAACACAGAGGTAAAGCGAAATCATGAATACTATGTCACAACTTGAAAATAACATATTGACAATTTTCACTGTTATTGATGAATATTCAGTTTCTCTCTATTGTTTTATTCAAGTTTCACTGTTGTCAGAACACATCATGTTTGATAAGGGTTGTATACAGTATGTAAGACACATTGCTTACATGAGTGCACAGTGACTAGCATTTTGTTAAGAATACTCAATTTTATAATTTTACTCTGTCTGTTACCTTTAATGTTATTTCTTTTTCTTTATGAATATTTTAAGGGAAAGGAATAGGAACAGCACTCCTGAAAAATATTATTGAAGTAAGTAATTTGTTTCCCTATACTTCCCATACATCTCAGAGTGATCATCTTGTGAAACAATAATAATGTTTTCTAAATAGTAATTCAAGTTATGTTTACAAGAAGGACAATATTATTACCAGTAATGATCTCTGTACAAGATCTTGTCAGAAGCTGGAAATCTCCAACTTTTATTTATTCCACGTTTATTATTTCATCAACGCTTGTCTTTTTATGCATGTATGTTTACATACAGATAGTAAAATTACATTTGATCTAATCTTTGCTTTGTGATCAGGGTTACTAATCTAAAAAAAAAGTATGTGGAAACTTTTGTAAGAGCAAGGGCAAATTACAGCAGTACATGTGTTCACCCTGGAGTAGTTATAGTAGATGTAATCGATGAGGGTTTTGATATTACCTTCTGATGTGAAGTGCACTTATCAGCATTCAATGTAAAATTACAAGATCACTTGTGATATGTATTCTGTGTCTAATGTTACCTCGTTACTGACATTGCTAAATATAGCACATCAAGAACACCTGCTGTAATGTGATAGTTTAATAGAAACGTATAACTGGTGGATATATTGTATGATGTTAAAATGTCTGGATGAGGCATCTGTCACCAAAACAACTTTAAAACTTACATGTACCCGGGTATATACATGTATATGAATGATTTAATAGCACTAGGTCATAGTTCAAAGTTGTTGAAGTCATTTAGGTTTTTCCAGTACTTTGTCTTGTATATTCTGTAATTATTTAGATTTATTATTTCAATTTTCAACTAATTGGAGTCCATATATTTTAATTTGACTCTAAATATTATTCGACCTTGACTGGTATATCTACACTTCATAATTTGTATTTTGGTCATAAAAAATATCAATTGAGCATATATTTGTGTCTTTTTGACTCCTGTGTGGAAGGCTTGGTTGCTATCTGTGCATATTAATTACCTAATTTGCATATTAATTTGCCAATTCTTAGTCTTTTCAACTAATATTTCAACACAGGTGCTTTGGAATAATACACGAATGTGATTACTTCAGGGTTGAAATCCTTGCATATTAATTATCTATTTTGTGATGTATTGAAGGCATCGGACAAAAGATGTGACTAACTATCAGATGACCATATATGGTTGTGTTACCTAATTAATATGCATCACTGTAATATCTCAAGTACTGTTGCAGATAGAGACTGTAATTTTGTTGTCAGACAAGATATATGACAGAAATATCAAGTCATTATATATGATCATGATTTCATAAAATATTTATAATTCTTGTAACCATCAATGGCTTTGTATGCAATGCATAACATTTTTGCTTTATGTGTATTGAAGATGTGCTTCTAATATAGTAAATACAGTATTCCTTATTTATACTTCGATCCCTCCTTAAATACCCTCACACCCATAAGTTCTATCTCAGCTTTCTTTGATTATAAACTTCATTCAAATGTAATACATGGTTACTATGCAATTTTCTCTGACACAACTTGCTTATCATTTAGTCAAAAAATGGTGGTAAATATTTTAGGTGCAGTCATGTATGCTTGAGTGCAATCTATTTTCTTTACAACATTCTATTTTTGAGTCCTGCACTTTTGAAATGGGGAGCCCCTGATGGGTTTGACCATGTTTACCCTAGGATTAAATCAATTAACAAAATGATAAACATACTGTTAATGCTTTTTCACCTAATTTTTCAGCAGATTGAGCTAGAAAAATGTAAATTTGCTGATATAATGTCAAAGCGGGCTATGTATTTCCTAGCAGTCGACAGATTATTTGAACTCAGCGAGCTGACACCTATAGATCTGTGATTGCTGTTCTCCCATTTTGTTATATTACCTATAATGTCTGCAGGGTATGTGATAACATGGAGACACTAATCACCGCATGAACTGTCATTTTTATGTGTTCTCAATTCAAAATCCGCTGATTGAATAAGATTGAGTACTCCGTTAACGGCCTTACGGCCTGTTGAAATTACACAGTGGAATGACGCTGTTTAAAGAGGTGGTTACAGGGCACCATGTTTCATTTAATATTCAAGAGCTCCCCATCGAATGTTGAATCATGTCTAGCCATTTGTTTTATTCATCTAAATTTTATCTGTGTTTTCAAGATTAGATACACATATTGCTGCAGTTGTACTTTTAAATTACTAATTTTGGACCAAATAATAAAATTTATCATATATTCTCACAGTTCAGACAAAAATATTAAGTTCACATATGGTAATATAACAGTTTCACATGCTTGCATGGGTACAACATTCAACACCAGTGGATCACTAATGACAACAATGGAGTTCCTCATAGACAATGTCAGAAAGACCAAACACTAAATATCAAATATTTACAACAGTAACAACAGCAGTAACATTAAAATGAAAACTAAATTATTTGTATCAATACAGATACCCATTATATTATATGTGTCAGTGTTGTGGGGAATTACCACTAATATTAACCATTGGGAAAAATACCACATAAAATTCGGCAGACATCTATTATTAAAACAGGAACAAAAGTACTATTGGCTGCAGACTGAAAACTAGATTTGTCCTTTTTTTTAATTATTTAATTTTATTTATTGATCACTATAGTTTAATGTTTTAGAATGTCAAAATATGTTCTCTTTTTATTAGCTCCGCTGTCGACTTTGTCGAGCGGAGCTTATCATATGAGTGATTGTCCGTCTCCGTCGTCCGTGTCAATGTTTTACTTTTTCGACTTCTTCTTGAAAACTACAAGCCTGAATGCTTTAATACTTGGTGTATATGTACCTTGGGTAGACCTCTCTCAGATTTGTTCATTTCATGATGATATCTGCAATTCTCTAATTTTGGTGAATATTTTTGTCATTTTTAGTAAAAAGTGATATTTTCGACTTCTTGTTGAAAACCGCAAGTCCAATTGCTTTGATATTACATATATAGGTACTACATGTGGACCTCTCTCAGATTTGTTCATTTTGTAATGATATCTTTAATTCTCTAATTTTGGTGAATATTTTTGTAATTTTTGGTAAAAAGTGATATTTTCGACTTGTTGAAAACCGCAAGTCCAATTGCTTTGATATTACAAGTATAGGTACTACATGTCGACCTCTCTCAGATTTGTTCATTTTGTAATGATATCTTCAATTCTCTAATTTTGGTGAATATTTTTGTAATTTTTGGTAAAAAGTGATATTTTCGACTTCTTGTTGAAAACCGCAAGTCCAATTGCTTTGATATTACATATATAGGTACTACATGTGGACCTCTCTCAGATTTGTTCATTTTGTAATGATATCTTTAATTCTCTAATTTTGGTGAATATTTTTGTAATTTTTGGTAAAAA